CCTGGGGTAATAATAGTGACAATAGAAGAAAGAAATGTTAAGGATATACAAGAATGTTTTTATTGGTAAATTGACCGATTTTTGATGAACTCATTTGATTTTGATTTGTCTAGTAATATTTTAATAAAAATGGAAATTTGACATTGAACCTTTTTGATTTTTTTGTTTATTTAATTTTGACGTCAAAATTAATTTGAACTCTTGCATTTTCTGCTATTGTTAATTGAAAATTCTTATTACTGAGGTAATAAATAGTGACAATAGAAGAAAGAAGTGTTAAGGATATACAAAACTTTTTTATTGGTTAATTGACATATAAATTCATTTGCTTTTGATTTGTGTAGTTTTATTTTAATGAAAATTAATCTATTCGGGCTTTCGATTTGTGCTTAAATTTTTATTATACACAAAACATGTCTCTTACAAAAATCAAATTTCAGCTATATAAATTGTCCTAGTATTTTTCAATTCCTATTAAGAGAGATAAAATGCTATATATGTTTAAGTGTTGTATTAATATTTTTTCAATTAATTGGGAAATTTTTAGTTTCAGAACAAAACTAGCAAATATCAATTTTTTGTATAAATCAAATAAATTACTTGATTAGTACTGTAATCGTTAATTAGTTTCAATGTCAACATTGACGTTTTTTTGTATTTTTGTTACATAATCTAGAGCTGTTGAATAATTTCTTTAATACATCTACGAATGATTAAGTAGTCACGTTTTATGATTTTGTAGATTTTAACATTTCGTGCTGTGAGATAAATTAATATTTTTGCAAATCACTTCCCGTATACATTTTTTTAAGATTTTGTACAAGAATTTCAAATAATTTTGAATAATGATGCTTGTATCACGATTAACTATTGAAAATAAGATACTATTGAAACTTGATTGAATCTTGATTTTTTTTATGATTTGCCAAAAATTTAAATTTATTATAAATTAGTTGGGGTCAAGATTAAAAAAGCATCTGCGTATAAAATTGACCTTAAAATTAAATTAATTATATATGTGTGCTATTGATTACTAGTCATCAAATTTTTCTTAAGAAAATGTTTGAACCGAAAATTCAACAACCATTTGACATTCTATATGCATTTATTCGTTGCAGCAATGCCCCCAAAGGCTTGTATCGCTTGAAGTCATATTTACATCGTTTTTTTTTTCAAATAAAAACCGATATCAATACTGATTTATCATTGATTCATCGTTTGATTGAATGCACTATGAAACATACATTTACAAATAATTCATCCATCAAAACTAAATGTTTCATATTATCTAAACACGCGAATCGTGAATTATCTTTAGGTTATTCTATTGTATGATTTTATTAAATAGTAAATAATTACTTTTTAATTTATATTGGAAATTCATATCTTAATTATTTCTACCAAACGTTTTAATTTATATTAGAAATGTGTATGTCAATTATTTCTACCGAATGGTTTTTTGCAGTAAGTGTTTGAAAGATTTATCTCCAAGTATGTTTTTATTTCTCAAGAAAAATGAGCTCATTAAAAAGGAAATTACTCATCGAACAAAATAAAACACTTATGCTAAAAATAAGTACATTGATTTACTTATCATTATCAAAAACGGATGTTTTTGATCGTACCTTCTCTATATTCGAATAAGTGCACTTCAAATCCTCTTCTTCCCAAAAAACATGCTGCCAGAGAACCTACCTGAAAAATTCAAAAAAAATGTTATTAATACTTTTATGACTTGCTTCATAATAATACGGTTTGAAAATTTACTAAATTTAATTAAACTATTGCAAATATTATAAAAATAGATTTATAGACCAAATATTGGCTTGTTTTGTAAAAAACGACATTGTTGAAGAGAAATGTCCTTTTAACAGCATATAGAACTGTTATATTCTGATTGATCTTATAAATTGATTAATAAGGATAAAATATTTACAAAAAATATTTTATCCTTATTGATGATACTTGGGTCACTTCTTCTCGTAAATAGCTAAACCGATATTGCAATAATTTTTCAATCAATATTGATGGAAATCTTGAGGAAGATTGTTAAAGCATCTCGTATTATGATTAATTTAAAAATAATAATTTATAAGAAATTAAGAATGTAAAAATTCGAAATATTTGTGAGGATATTTAATAAACAAATCAGTGCATAAATAAAAATAGCATAATATTAAACATATATAATCGAGCCCAAGATTTTTTTGATTATACCATTAGTATATATGAATGATATTTTTGTATTTTAATTGTATTTCATAATTTATTATCTAATTATTTTTTATTTAATTATTATCTAATTTTATATTAATTCATTATATAATAACACAATTTTCTTAAAACGGTTTCTATATATTACAAATTTATTTCTGGTCATTCTGATAACATGGTAGAAAAAATTAATGAATTTTTAGGGTTTCAACAAGTTATTAATTTTAAATTATTTTTTATTTGCTTTGAATAGTATTCAAATATGATCAAAGTTTTGAATTTTCCTGATTAGAATCAGATCTATATTTTCAAGTCAAAACCGGCTTTACTACTGCTTGATATCAGGATGTCCTAGACGGGAATTAAAACTAACCCTTAAAATTTTCATACAACTTTTTTGTTATTTTTTATATTTCTTTTTTAAATTTATACTTAACACCAAGCTCATAGTATTCACATGTAATCTTGAAAAAATAATTTATGTTATTATTTGCTATCATAAAAATAAAATACACACGTAAAACCAAAATTTGCATAAAAAATATGTCATTAGCTTTACTCAGAAAACTAATAGAATAAATAAAATAATCTCTGACAGAAATTGGTTTTCACCAGAAATTCCGATTTGCTAATTTTATGTCTTATTGACATTTCAAGTCAATCTGAATCGCTTGACTGTAAAAGAATTATAAAATAGATTGCAAACAACGACTGTATTATCATTAATTCAATTTTAATTCTTTGCATGTAAATGAACATCTAATCTAAAATAATCCCTGACAGAAATTGGTTTTCACCAGAAATTCCGATTTGCTAATTTTATGTCTTATTGACATTTTAAGTCAATCTGAATCTCTTGACTATAAAAGAATTATAAAATAGATCACAAACACTGCCGATTCATCATTACTTCAATTTTAATTCTTTGCGCTCTCCATAGGGGCGCCACTAACTGTAGCACGTAAATGAACCCCTAGGTTTGAGAAATGATAAACCTGATCAATTTGAATATATGAAATGATGGGAACAAAATGTACACGTATAAAATATATTTCCAACAAAATCACAAACGTTTTCACAAAAGTTTTCATAAAAATAATAAAGAAAAAATTAAACGTTTAAAGTACATGTATTATAATTAGAGAATTAGTTCTTTAAAAAAGAGTAATGAATTTGGGCACAGTAAACCCTCTCTTGAGTGCGAAAAACACTAAAACAGAGTAAAGCACATTTGTTCTGTTAAGTAGATTTTTTTTTTAAAATTACTAACCAAACCTCCTCCAACGATAGCCACACTTTTGGGTTTACTTTTATTTTGAGTACTAACTACACCCATTTTAAACTATTTTTAAACAACTTCTAATTTTTTTTATATTTCTATTATTTATTATCACAGATACAACTATAAACAATATTATTTAAAAGAATATGTTAACAAATATTACGTTATTATTACGTCTACCCCGACCGAAGGCTTTCGTGATAATGGCAAATTACAATTTACATATGTCAGAATTTGCACTGATAATTGTCACAAAAACTGCGGATTGTAATCAGTGCTTGAAACTGACTAAAGTGATATGGACTTTTTTATAATTCTAGCCATATATAAGATTCGGTTTGTTAATGAAGGAAAATTCCGTACTTGAAATAATTCAGGTGAATTGGTAATAGAAATTGTGCGAGAAAGCTTCGAAGATCAACTTGATTAGATAGCAGAAAATTGAATGAAAATTTAATTGAATGATAATAGAAAACAGTTTTGTTTTGAAGTATTTTATTATGATGAACTAATTTGAATCTGAATTATTTTTAAAATTGGTTGTGAATTGTGAAAGGCTGAAATTTTGTCCTGAAACAGTTTTCATCAACTTCTCGATATGTATACGTCTCTTCGATACAATTTTCAACTGTTTATTTTGATAATACAAAAAGCCAATTTTCGAATAAAGTAGAAATTTAATCGTATTGTTAAATTATGGGTCTATCTTCATGTGAATTGTTAGTAACAAACTGTTCAAAAGCTTTGTAGTTGCTGTACTATTAGGCGTTCTACACATTTTACGTATGTTTTATAGATCAAAATGTTGCACTTGTGATAAGATTGTTATTAACGTTTGTGTGTTTTGTAGGTTAGTGTCTATGTGTATAACGCCTAAAATTTTTTTGACAGTTTGTTACTACAAATTTATACGAATATAGACCCGTAACAAAGCATCACCATAACCTTTCTATACTATTCTTACCCAAAATATACATATTTTAACATTAATGATTTATTATAAGTGAACCAGTTGTTGTAGTTCTTGAAATTGGTATATTTTGTGTCAAAATAACCTCAATCATGTATTTTTCATGCAAATATCAGTTTTACGTATACGTTTATTATGATAGCAATAATAACAAAATTTATAGATATTCATGAGCACACTCATACAAATTCATTGAGAATAGTATAAATACAATATCGTTTATATTGTTGTAAATTTTACTTATATTTATATAATTTTGTACGTTAATATCCTGATAATAATTTAATTCTTATTAAGAAATATGTTTTTTTCGTAAAAGAGATCGAAATATATTTTTTAATCGAATATATAGAAATCGAAACATATATTTTTTGAGAAAAGAACTCTAAATTAACAGGAAACATCCGAAAAAAGGTTATAAATTTAAGGTATGTCATGGTACCAATTTTTCTTATACTTATATTATTTTTTGTAATTTTTTGTGTACACTTGGTTATATTTGTCAATATTTTCAATTATTATATTTTCTATTTATTAAATTTCAAGGTATACATTTCATGTATTTGTGTGTGTGTGTGTGTTTGTGCGGATACAATTTTTCGTCGACCATATCGAGAACACGGATCAACCGATTTGAATGATTCAAAAAACGATCGATTCCTTTTAATGAGGAGACGTCATGATTAGTTTCTGGCCAAGGCAAATTCAGTCATTTCGTAGATACTGGGCAAAAAGTGCTAAAAACGGCAACTCAGTTTTTGAGAGAAAGGAGCATTAGATTTGAATGATTCACCAAACACTTGTATTAAAAGAATGACAAATTAATAAAAAAAGAATGGGAATGGCAACAGGTCCAGTGGTTTTGAAAATTCAAAAAAAAGTTAGAAAAATGCCATTTGGCGGTCAAAAATGACGAGTAGACATATGGATATCAAATTATCAAATACTTTATAGAAAATTCAATAAGTTATGTTTAATAAGTTAGAGACTAGGCTGCGAAGCGGCAATATTTCGTATCTAAAAAATTTAAAGTTGTCAAAAAAAATTAAAATATACAAAAATTGCAGGATGATGAAAAAAGTTAATTTTTTTTTTTAATTTTATTGAATTCTAAAGTTTTTAAAAACTTTACATTACAGTACAAAAAGTTTACAACGATGCACGATACCATGCACTACTTGTTGTAATTAAAATTATAAATTTACAACACTTAGTTAAGATTAGGGCTATGGTTTTTTAAGCATTTCATTTCAAAGTTTGAATTTTGCCCAAATTGACTTGTTTCGTAAACCAAGTGCCTATAATATTTATAAGTTAGCATTGGGTAATTATTTTTTTTATAAACACCATCAATAACATTTCCCAACTAAATAATCAAACGGCAGACTATTAAACCAATATTGTTTCAAAATCAGGAATCATTTCTGCCACATGTACCAACTCCCAATACTACTACATACCCGCTCCCCCACTCCCCTTGCCCCTCATCTCCTCCCGTCGCGATCCGTCGGTCTGCCGGCCGTCCAGGAATAGAATCATCCTGAGTCAACCTTCCTTCAGACACACGTGTCCCCAATATGGATCAGCCGCTCTCTTTTGGATGAGCGAATCTCAGTAGTAGAAACGCGGCCGCCGTGCGCGTAACTGACGAACCAGGAAAAGGGACGGTAAAGGGAAAGTCAAGGCGGTGAAGTGGGAAAAACGTCTCCTGATCTGGCCTGGTTACATATCGTCGTTAATAATCTCTTACCCTTTGTCCCTCTTACCAACTCCAAGGCGATGTGGACCAGACGCGGCCTGGTCTGGCTGCTGTTGCTGGTGACAATGTTCACCGCGGGCCAGATCGATGCCAAAAAGAGCAGCAGTAGCTCAGGGAAAGGGGATGATGTCAAGGCTGGAGCCAAGGAACCGGTTATTGAGGAGGTCACCTCGAAGCAACTGGAGAGGCTGCTGAACGACAAGGATTTTGTAGCTGTGTTTTGGTGTGAGTGCAGAAGGAATATGAAATTTATTCTGAATTGATGAGATAAAGTTGACTTTGTTGTTGCAATTTTGTGTATAAGTGATTTTCTAGTGACAAGTGTACAAAGCAAATGTGTCTGCGTTGTCTACAAGCCCTGACCTTGATGCCTTGAAATATTCTTGTTCGATGATTCATTAACCCAATTGGATTTTTTTTTCATTTTGCCAATATATGAGAATAGTCATAACTCCACGATTTATCATTATCTTATGCAATCGTTCTTAAATCTGATTCCAATTTTTAAAAAAATATAAAATAGATGATAAATCGATCTTTTTGGACGATGAGCGATTTTTCGTGATTTTGGTAACGACTTACTGGATATATATCTGATTCCAAAATTTCAAAAAGTATTAAGTAGATAATAGATGGATATTTTTGCACGACGTATAATCTACCGCAATTTTAAACCGAATTTCAAAAAAAAATGACAGGCCATTTTTCAAGATTCTGGTACAATTCATTCTGTGATTCTTATCATGATTCTTTTAGTGAAGTTTTAAGTAGTTTGAGTTTAAATTTTATTGAGCTTCATTATTTAGCATTTTGTGCTTTAAAATAAAGATAGTTCACCAGCTCTTCACATTAAAAAAAAAATCTTATGATATTTAAGACAAATTTTTAGTTAAATTAACTTGTTACACAATTTACTTCATAAGATAAAGCAAACACTTTTTAATTTTTACTATTATTATTTTAGTTTGCTTCTAATTTGTCGATATATGAAAAAAATCATAATTTTACGATAAACCATTTGGTAACTCCCATTGCATTTCTTGGTTCTAATTTTTTTGAAAAATTATATTAGTTTGCTTCAAAGTAAAGAAATATTACCATCATTTCTCAATTTTTTAAAATAGCCAGATAAATATTACCATCTTTGAGCAATTTTCTAAAAATAATAATTCAAATGTAACATTTCTTTTAAACAAGTTTTTGATGTAGTGTATCTCTCGCTTTATTGTTTTGTTTTTTGTTTCATTAATTTGCTCCGAAATAAAAATATCTCCCAATCTTCTCAATTTTTTTAAAATTAAATTTAAGTGCATCTTGTATTCAATTTCAAAGAAATTTAGAGTAAATTTTTTTTTTACATAATTCGTATTATGATAAAACTAGCAAAAACTACTTATTTTTAGTTGATTATTTTATCGTGATATTATTAACAAGTACTTGAAGATTTTTTTACTTTCTTGAGTTAAATTATGATATCGATTCAGGAGTTTTTCTTAAGTATTACATAATCATCAGCTGTTTTTCAAATTTTACAAATTCTGCCAAAAAATGTAACATTTTCATAGAAAATCCACACCAATTCTGATGAAAGTTTCACTTTATAGCAATCATGATAAAAAAATGTCCTGGTTTTGTTTGATAAACTCAGTTATCCCAGTTATATTAAAATATATCGCGATAAACATATAATAATTTAATATATAAATAAAATATAAATATAAATATTTAATTTAATCACTTTTGAGGAAATTTGCAATCTAAAATGGCGCCCCGATCCACCTCGATAAATCCAGTTAACCTACTTAAATTTTCGACATCAATCGCGTTTTGTGCTATAAACTTTACTTTATTTCATGGCTAATTTTATAAATAAAGTGCTGAACTAAAGGCCACCACATTCAATGTAGTGCGATCTGAATTTAATTTAAAAATAGTCCAAAAAGCCCACCTTACATAACATTCAGCAGAAGGCTTGTAAGTTTTCTCAAGTGTCTCTACTAAATGTGTTCGCCAAATATTCAACTCGAGCTGTTATATACTATCATGATAGTATATAGCAAAAAGTTATATATATTTAATTTTGTGTGTCTTACCAACCAGTATTAGAAGTATTTGTGTCTATTGTTGTGGATACAGGACGAGCTAGAAGCCTTGGGTTATTCTTAGGTTTGAAAAATTTCACAAAATCAGTTTGTTTTTTTGAAATTCGATCTAACAGGAGGAGAATGTAAGTCACTTTCTTATGAAACATACTTGATATATATATATATATATATATATATATATATATATATCTGTGTATATATTTGATGACATAGCACCACATATAAAAAGTAAAAATTTTAGAGAACATATTTTTTTCCATGTTTTGACATATTTTACGCCATCAACAGTGGGTATCATAAAATTAGAGACAAATTAAAAAAAAAACATAAATAAAAATAAATGTAGTGTTTATAATTGGCAGTATCACGTGACACTAAAACTGTGAGTGATTGTGTATTAATTAATTATCAATTTTGGGACTATAGCTTATTTTACTAGTAACAACGTCAGTTAAGTCGCAAAAGTTATATTTTTCTCAAAGCAAACAGATTTTTTCAAAATGTGTAGTACAATTACTATAGTTGATAATGAAAATAAAATTACTTTTTAGTTTTTAATAATAATTTTTATTTGACTATCTTAATTATCGTTTTCATTTGAGCCAGTTTCATCATATATATATTTTGATATTTACTATTTACTTACTATTTAAATTTGCACAAAATTGGTAAACCACAGCTAGATATAATTTAATTAACCCTGATGATGGCATAAAATTATATATCGAAACGTTTCGTGAAAAATTAAAAAATCTGTGTATCCCATATATGAATTAGAAAATTTTGAAAAAAGGATTATTTATGACTTATATCTTAAATGAATATTGTTATTAAATTTTCAAGCACAATATTTTTCTTGATATTTTTGTATCAGCCTTATTATCGAGCTGTCATTTTTATGATATTTTGAAATGAAAAATGAATTATTTTTTTGTCAATTAAGAGCATGCATTATGATCAATTAGAACTGAATAACCCGTCATTGTTGATTATTTTTCTGTAATATTATTATAATGCAAATACTGTACATACCATCAATTTTTCTTTTAATTTTTTAATACGACATAAGAAATTTAGGTACGTTGCCATAACTTGGCTAAAACATATATTTGTAATTAGAACTGAAAAGATAATTTATAAATAAAGAACGTTTTTTGCTTACCAATATTGCCCCTTGCCTACAAAATATTTCTTAATTTTATTTCAAGTATTGGTAAATAATTATTTTCATAAGTGTTGCTATCAATATCATCTTTTGCTCATTTTGAAAAGTAGTATGCACCACCTTCCAAAAATTTAAATCATCATAATATTTTACTCCTGAAATAATAAAAATTCAGAACTAAAATTATTATTGATTATCCTTCATTAGGAATGTAATAATATATTAAAAATCTACATTACGATGAACATTTTACTGATCTTATCTTATATTTTTTCATAAAGCTATCCATAAATATTCTACTTTTCTTATTTTTTTAATTTCTTATTACACATAGTTTGAAACTAAAAATTTTACAAAATTACATGGAGGTTGTATAAAATACTTGTGAATAAACAAACTTTTCAGCTAAAAGGCAAATATGAGAATTAGTTAAGAAAGTTCAAGTTTCAATAGTTTGAATATAAACTTGAAATATAATGGATCGAAAATAAATATTAAAATTTAGCATAGAATTAATTCAAGAGCGTAATCACAAATACTGTAAATAAACAATAATAAGTAAATTAAAAATCATCGAAAATTTTTCATACAAAAGTATAATGCTTCTCAAAAGACGAGTAAAGATAATATTAATCAATCGCCTTAAACATTGATGAACTAAAAAACCAATAATTAAATTTAAAAATTATTTGAGAGTGAAATTTGGATTCAAAGTTTAATTTCAATATTCAATTTGTAATAATTAAATTAAATTGTAATAATTAAACATGAGGACAATTAATAATTTTCTAACTAATATTTCAATTTGACAGATATGCCTCTTGGTTAAACAATGATTTGTAATAAATTCAGAGATTCTAACACAGAAAAATGTTATAAATAGTTAAATGATAATTTCTATGGATTCAAGTTAGTAAAAATTTAAAAAATCTTTTTATTTACTACAATTTATACTTGTTTCAGACAAAATTGTCTTTTCACCATAAAGTATCTTAGGATATAAAACAATTAAGCGACAGTAGATTTAAGCAATTGTACGAATGACACCTAGACAAATAATGTAAATCAAAAGCCAATAAAAAAAGTAGACGACAGTACTTAAAAGAATGTAGTTACTCATCTATTAACATTCTTGATGTCACTTTACTTTTTACTTTACTTTGACTTTACAAATTATTACTTTTTAAATGTATCAGAGGAGAACATGTTTATACTACAATAGGTCTAATTCGAATAAATTTCCATTTGATATTTGAATTTTCCCAGCCCTGCTCGTCCCCGATTGAGCAATCATTTGTCTGAGCATTTTCCGATGATGGCATTCGGCATTCGGCATTCAGCATTCAGCATTCGGTTCACTTGATACGCTCTCGAGGCGATGTAGATGTTGCAAAACGTCGTCTTAGCCCGACACTTCTAATTTTATAATTTTTACTGTTGATTCAAGCAAGCTCTAGCCTAAGAGGTCGCCTAAATAGAATAGAACGAGAGTCGGGTAACCAAAATATATTCTATTACTTTCAATCCACTCGTATAAATGATTCCATCAAAGTTTGAGAAAAAACATAAGTAAAATATTGATTGATAAAATTTTATAAATGGTCAAAATTACACAAGTATTTAAAAATTGACTAGTTCTAGTAACATTTCCGCGACATTGTAACAAGAAGAAACCCATAAGCACAATTTGGTCAGATGTTGAGCGTCATTGGCGCAGTCTTGCTGTCATCAATTCATATGTAATAAGAATTTTCTAGGTAATTTTATTGTGTTTTTGTGGACCTATTTTTTGATAATTATAATTATTTTTATTGAAATCAATGAACATATGCCAGTACTGGTAAATCTGTTTCATTTTATTGAAAAAGTTAGGTGTTCGTACTTCCATTATATATTTACAAATCACAAGACAAGTATCTTCTTAATTATAATTAAAATTTTCAGTTTAATTTATT